AAATTATTCAAAGTATGTATATATATTCAATTTAATTGGAAATAAAATTTATTTATAACTATTGAGTTAAATTTTTCACCATTAAAATATTTAAACATACTTTTAAAAATCATAAGATTTAATTTTAAGCATTGTAAAATTATTGAAAACTAATATTAACTATAAAATAAATTTTTCTATGAGCGTTTAAATTAAAATGTTTTGCAACATTAGCTACCTATTTATCAGTAAATTATCAAATTACCGTTAATCGGAAAAAAATCCCCAAAGCTACTGTTGAATACAGCCGTCAAAAATAATAATGAATAATAATAAACAAAATATATTTTTTTTTTTACATATTTATTTTATTTGTACAATCTGTAAGAGAAATATTTACAATAAGCACAATGGAGGGGTACCTACATAATAGGTCATGGTTGGCTTGAATGAAGAACCTATTAAATAATATCACTTCATGGCGAGATAGTAGTGATTAGTGGAATAGTTAACTAGTCGACTAGCAGATCACGGCACCRGCTATGCTTTAAACGTCGGCCAGGGTCACCCGGAATTATTCGAGAGTTTTGGATGAGAAGGTTTCGGTGATTTGAAAGTTTGAGGTGGAAACGTTTGTAAAGAGTTTTGGCGACGTTTTTAACTGTCGGAATGTGGAGGGTGTCATTTGACACATAAAAAGGTGCTTAAGTTATTTTCAGAAGGCATTTCTATTGAAAAGTTTGGATACGGTTTATTTTAGAGTTTTTGGCTGATCCCCAGAGTTGAATTCCATAGGACCATATAGGTTTGAGGAGTACCTTATACATAAGGATTTTGATATGAAATATGAAGTGATTGGAAGAGAAGAGGAGGCGTAGCTGTTTTTGACGATTATTGAGTACTAGTCGTTTGTTACGTATGTGTGGGTAGCCCACGTGAGTCGGCGATCTAAGTATTTAAGCCTAGGTAACGCACATTTTGAGCGGTCGGGGGAAGTTGGTCGTTAAGTGTGATAGGGGAGCAGTTTATTGGTCTGAAAGTGAATGTGCAGTGGATAGGTATGGATTCAACAATGGTGGGCATTAACTTGTTAAAAAGTTAAAGTTATGTTAAAAAGTTAATTTTTAACTTTTTAACTTAACTAGTTAGATATTTTTGTTTTCAACTTATTAACTTATTCAGTTAAATTTTTATCGTTTTAACTTAACTTTTTAAAGTTATAATTATCATTATGGTGCAGTTAAGTTAATTTTAATTTTTTTTTATATATCACGTGGAACCAACAGAAAACTTATCCTTTCGATTTTGGTAATTTATTTTTCTGATGTTATAATATCATCAATTCATAATAATCAGATTATATTTTAATCTTCACTAGTAAATAGTATTAATATTAGATACTGATAAGCGTCTTGCTAAATATTTGTATAAATTAAAATACTAGGGCAATTTATGACTTATCATTATTGTGACTTGAAAAAAAAAATTAACTTTTTTTTAACTGAGTTAAGTTTATTTTATTTTATATCTTAACTTTTAACTTATCTTGTTAATTTTTTTTTTAATAACTTTTAACTTAACTGAAGGCAATTTTATTGAATTAACTTAACTTGCCAAAGTTAATTCTTTCCATTAACTTGCCCACATTTGGGATTCGATGAAATTCTTTGTACCGTGTATAGAGCATGTCGAAGTGGATTTGTATTCTGTTGGATGCCTCGAGAGGGTCATGGTGGAGGGCCAGGATGGGATAAAAAACATAAAATTTAAATGATAATTATTATAATATTATCTTGATCAGACCTGAATTCTGCAAAAAATAAAACTACCTAACTATGATAATAATAAACAATAGAAAAAATATAAAATCTGTCGATATTGTGATTAATGGCTAATATGCATTCTGGACTCAAACTAATTGAAGTCGGTAATCGGTATTACATCAAAATCGCGTTTATTGAAAGGACGTTACACCGACATTTGTTGTCACCGTTTAAAAACATATTTTCTTTCACTACAGTTTCAATAGTGTGCTGTTATTTTTGATATTAGAGTGAATTGACCCATAATCAAACTTTTAAGTAAGAACATTATCTGTGTTCATTCTTGTTAATTTTTAAATGAATTATGAGTTTACTTGAAAATGCACATAACTCGTTTAAAAATTCACTCAAATATCAAAACTAACAACACACTATTGAAATTAGTGAACGAAAATCTGCTATGTAGTACATGTGTAAGACGGAGATCACACATGCGGGTGCGATGTGTTCTTAAGATGTACAATTATATATGTATAAATAAATTTTGCAAACTTTGGGAATTTTTTTCCTAGATTCCGAATTACCGTATCAATCAATTTTTTATATTTTTTTRTAATTCAAAAACGAATTATCGTGGAAACATGAAATTTTCACAAAATATTAATTATAGAAGCATTTTTGATACATAACTATACTCTTTTTGAGCTATTTTTTTAATGATTGAATTTGATAATTTATCCAAATATATTAAGMTGACAGTCTGACACAACATCTCCACTCAAAATTCTTTTCGTATACAATGATTTATTATTGGATTCTAATCTAACATGTCTATTGCAATGACATACTCGGTAACTACTGTACAGTAGACCGGAATAATCTTGTCTAGCTTCTAAAATTGTTTTTTTCATTAAAATATGTTTATATCTGAATAGCAATAAATTAAACATACAGCGATATAAGTAAGATAAGCCCTTTTTGTTGGTTTCACATAAATGCGGAAATTAAATTAATTGTAAAATTAGGAGAATAAAAAATATTTATTGAATATTTAACCTAAATAGTTATATGATGTAACTGACATGCAATATATAGGATATATAAATATACAACAATAGTTACTTAGTAATACTAACTAACACAGTGTAATTTACTCTTACAGAAATGGTGMAAGCGTATATRRATGCATTGCCAAGTGTGTATTAAAAATTAAAATTGATTTTATAACTACCTAATGTAATAGAAACTATATATAGTAACTAAACTATCAATATCAAATAGAGCACGATCGGTCGTAAAATAATTATGTGACGTTATGATGCTGTTTTAATTGCTGTTTATATTGAATACATGTTGAATAAATTCAAAAATTAATTTGGGTGAGTGGCCCCGGCTCAAGTAAGCGATTGAATAAGGTAGCTATCCACTAAATGCTAAATATGAAATGGCCATAACGTTAACCGTGAACACCAATAGGATATATGTATATTCCTACGTAAAATTATACAATGCATCACTAATCATAACATTGTATAGTATTATAAACACAATTAAACGGCGAAACAAGAGCTGAATATCCCAAGGCTTAATAAATCCTAGATGACGTATGCTGGGCATTGTATAATTTTCTATTTGTTTGGTTTTTTTATTTTAAATTTTTTTTGATAAATTGATATATCTTGGTAAAAAGTATTGATACGATTTATTAAAATTGGGGAATCAAAAAATTATTTTTCAGTTTATGATAATAGAAAATTCCCCTACTTATTTTCATTATAAAATCAATTAAAATCACTTTGCGTTGAATAAAATTAATGATTTGTAGTAAAACGTGTTTTTCATATATGTATATAAATTAATATCGAGATATACAATTTTCCTTAGGACAGTTTAAATATCTAATGTACACCATCAACAAATCTAATGACTAATACCAATTTTTTATACAGGTTTATCCTCACAAAGACAACGCTCACAAACTCCGTTGACAGAGTTCTGTAATCATATTCCTGAATCCTTCTACGGAAATGATATAAAAAAGCTTATTAAGACCATTATGAATGATGTTTTACATTAAACTTAATATTTTCTCCAATTAATTCATGATAAATATAATATCAATTGTCTAATACAACTAACTAATTTGATTCTTATTATATTATTATTAAGGTTCTTGTTAACCCCCAACATAGATGTTTTGGAACGTTTCAGTAAAAAAGAATTCACTATTTTACAGGCCCAATTATAATTTTAATTTTAACAATTTTTCATAAATAATTAATGCCTAATAATAAAAAAAAATTCACTTATGATGAGGGAGGATAAAATCTTTTATTTCTTCCCATTTGTTAACCTATTTTTTATCATTTATATTCAAGTCTTAAGATATATAACTTGTAATAATTATATCCCTTACACATTACAATTACCTATACATTATCTTTATTTTATTTTTATTTCACAGCTAATTGTATCTCAATTTTTTCTTTCCCTTTATACTGTATCATTATTACTAGAATATTCTCTGTGGAGTGTTAAATATATTGATTTTCAAATGATATAATATGTGTTTTTTTTTTGTCTGTCATCACTCATCATTGATATCTTATCATCATGATTCATCAGTCATCACCTTTTAGGGCTTCAATTTTCTACTTCAGCATCTTTTCGAGTAAGAAAATGATTTGAGTTGGTACGTTAAAGGGTCGGGTTACTAGTAGATATCTAAAGCATCAAAAAAAAAAAAAACAAAAAATTAAGGACAAACTCAGGTTTGTTCACAAACTAATTTTAAAATAAATTGATTTTGTTTTTGGTGGAACTCTAAAAAAAAAATAAGAGTGGTTAGATGAAGCATAAGAAATTTCAATTAAATTTTTTTTATTATTAAAATTATTAAAATGTCTAAAAATTTAAAAATATAATACAACGCTCTTCGGAAAGCTTTTTATTAGTGGAAATTTAAAAAAAAGTTGAGCATAAAATAGCAATACCTATATAAATAATTGTCAAATCTGTGACACATTGTGCGATGACATGACAAGATACAATTTACCTACTAATATAATGGCGGATATGTGACTTAAACGTAAGTATAGGTGTGCATGGTGACAAAACGAATTACAATATTTCTGGTAAAAATGTTTGCGGGTATCCCAGATTCAAACCCTCGCGTTTTGGCTCTCTGGCTGTAATAACTTACAGATTACTGACTTGTCATTTATGTCTCCCTCGACGAATTTGATGAGATAACCAGAACACAAGAATTTACCTAGAATACGATCATATAATATATTATTGGCATAGCCCAGTCAGCCCAGTCATCTGTATCCCTATGTAGAGATTATTATAGACAACAGTCACCTCTTTACATTTTTAAGTAACATTAATATTTAATTATAAAATAATAATAACCTACCTCATAGATAGATCATAATTATTAAAATTTTTTTTTTTTTTTTAATTTAAATAAGGCTTCAACTCCTGAGGTTATTAGCCTGCAGTAAATACAAAATACAAAATAGTTGTCATAGAGTTAAAGCTAATGCTACCTTAAACCTKAAAGCTATGGGGACACATTATGTTTGACAATAGAGGGATAGAGTATAATATGTACATTCAATTATTTTTCTAAATTAATTTTGCTAAGCCTATGTTTTTGAAAAAATCGTAAATGTTTTTGGAGTTATCTTCGTCAAGTGCTTGTTTGCATAGTTAATGGATTCCCGAGGATTTGTCTGGAGTTGGTGAACTTTAGGCATTCTAGCGTGATGTGTTTAATTGTCAGCGCTTTGTCTCAGAGTTCGCAGGTCGGGCTGTCTTCTTTTGTTATGAGGTGTAGATGTGTTAGGCGAGAGTGTCCAATCTGGGTTCTTGTGGTAACTACTTCTTCGTGCCTGGATGAGGATGGGGGAGTTTTCCATGGGTCGACTGACGATTTAATTTCTTTTAGTTTATTTGTGTTTGGAGTCTTCTCCCTTGCCAGTGACTTTTAGTTAGATTATTTATRTTTGAGAGTGCGTCTTGAAATGTTATTTTATTTATTAGTACCGAGCTGGGTGATGTTATTGCTTCGTTGGCTGCCTTATCAGCTAGTTCGTTGCCACTTATGCCAGTGTGGGAGGGGACCCATAGAA